GAGAGAGAGAGAGGGAGAAAGGCGTATATAAAGAATAAGAAGAGGGGAGGTGAAACCCCTGCAAGTAGAAGGAGAGACGTGAATCCTGGGGACCTACAAGGCGCTCCTCGATGCCCTTGTTTTTAACCTCAAAAGCATTTGCGACGGTCCAAGAGGTGAAAATACAGGTCAAAATGACGGTCATGTCAATTGTATATCTCTACTGCATTATTAAGTTAGCTAATAAATTGAATTTTTTTTCGGTATTTGTATATGAATTTATAGCAAAACTTTTATAATCTAGACTAGTTATTATGTTTTGGGAAAGGTTTCTATATTTTTCCTAGAGCATAGAAGGTTTTTCTTACTATCGAGCCGTCCAATTTTGATCAAGAGAGTAATCGACTGTTTGATTTTTGATCCGACGTCTCAAAGTATTTTATTTTTAGTTTTTTTTATATAAATTGTATGAATATGAGATTTAGTATGTAACATATTCTCATTAGAGCGTTCCTATAAAAAATATTAAAAATATTTTTTTGATAAAATATAATGACCAAAATACCCCTTAAAACTTTCAAAAATATTTTTGTCATTTTATTTTATTAGAAATATATTTTGTTTTTTTATTTTTCGCTAGTGCAAGTTTAATAGAGGATTGGACGTCCAAAATTTGGTATCAAAATAGTTTATAGAAAAAAATTTAAAAATAAAATAGTGCAAAGATGTGACATTATGATTGGGGCAATCTTAGCCCTCCATTGAGAATGGACGGTTGGATAAGGGGAAGTATGTAAGTTTTATGTTGTAGGGGAAGCATAGAAATAGTGCCCTTATGTTTTAGTCCTTGATTAAATCTTTTTTTGGTATTTATATCTGAATTTTTAACGCAACTTTTATAATCTAAATTACTGGTTTTGTTTTAGTCCGTGATTGATTTACTATATATTACTATTTTATGCATAACGTATATTTTAGTCTATTATTAGGGCCAGTTTGGATGTAACCAAAATTGGAATATTTTTAAATTTCAAAAAAAAAATTGAGATAGCAATTGGAACCGTTTGGATAACTCAATTAGATTTTATTCCCAATCAAAACAAATTATGACGTTAAGTCAAATTTGCCCGTAACCGTGAGAGACAAAAATTTGAGTTCGACTCAATTTTCTTCGCTTAAAATTTTTTACGCTTCCCTCATCGCGCCTTCCCTCCCAACCTTCTCGCTCCGAGTCGCACTTATAAAAGCATCTCTCATACTCTCAAGCAGGTCTCACTGCTCTTTCTCTCTCTCATCAAATCGCTAAAAACATTTCCAGAGGTAGGTTTGTAAATGATGTTTTACATCCTCCATCAAATCGTTCCTAAGATGTTTACAACCTCAAAACATTTTGCAGAGGAAGCTTTGTAAAGGACATCTCACGTCTTTTGCCCATCAATGTACTCTCACTCTCTCTATAGAAATAAGCTTTTATATGATATTGGGGGCTTTACCTCTAAGATTGAAACCAATATAGATTGTTGATTTTTTGAGGTTTTTGAGAAATAAATGGGATTTATATAAAGTGAGGGCCTACGATTCATCTCAACACAGGCAATGGTACAGCCATCACTATTCATTGTGGGTAGCAAGAACACTATTACAAATTCTCATTTTAGACCCAACCTTGCTGCTACACACTCTGACTATGAAATCAACGAACGATCATCAAAAAAAAATAGGCACAATCGTCGGCATTTCAAAAGTCTGCGAAATATGCTTTGGTGAAATGGTAAGTTTTCCTGAACCTTAATTTCCACCTCCATGGATTTATCTCATTCATTTAGTACTATGATGCTTGATTTCTTATCTCTCTCTAAAAAAAACTAACTGATTTGAATATCTCTCTCTCAAAGAAAAAACAATTGATTTAAATCTCTCACTCTAAGAAAAACCAACTTATCACTTATTAATTTGTGAGCATGTTTTTGCTCTGTGCTATTTTCTTTGTATGGGAAATTATGATGTATTAGAAGTATTTGATTTATTTTTTTAGAGAAACTTTTAGGCTAATCACTGCTAATTACACCAACTAGTTTCTTCATTTTTTGTACTTCAATACATTAATGTACATTTGATGTTGAATTTCTAACAATGTTGTATGATAATATTCTGAACTGATAAATAGTTGCATCGACCCATATATTTGTTCACAACCTTTTTTTTATGTTCAAATTACCATACAACAATTGAAAATTCACTGGGCTACACTTAAGTAGCAATATTTTATTGCGAAAAACCTTATTAACCAAAGCGGTTTCAGTTGGGATGACCATGCCCATGTTGTAACTGCTTTAAATGGTGTATGGGATCGATATCTGCAAGTAAGTTTTTAGTGTTGATTTGAAATTCTTTATTTTTCTTTAGTTATAGTAGGAATTTATCTATGCAAGATATTTAGAAAGCTCATGTATATAAGCAAACATGCCCATCCTGAAGCAAAACCATTTAAAAAGGAGAGCTTTCATCTTTATGATCAACTTACTATACTGGTAGAAGGTAAGTCTTTCCATTGTATTAATAATATTTATTTAACTTTATTATATTGCACTACAATTCTCACTAGAATATGACATTTTATGCCTATAGGTAAACATGCCCCAAGGAAAAGACAATTATTGATTGTTCGTCAAGAGCCATTAGAAGATGACATAAGTGAACATGAAATTGAGGAGAGTCCACAATCAGACCCACACTATAATGCAAAGAGAATGATTTGAGCTCTTCAGATGATATGCCTATGGACAACCTTGAAAGGAACAAATGTCAAGCTGTTGTAAAATTAATTCTACATTGTAGTAAGAAAGTGAGGTCTAGCCATGTAAGTAGATTAACAGCAGGTGTTTAAAATTTAGTTAGGGTAGACATGTCAACCTCATACTGCAAAAGCCTACAGAAAATGAAGAGTTTTTATATAAAAAGTATTTGATAGAATTGCAACAGTTGGAAGGCTTAAGTCAAAGTGAGCGTGTACAAGCAATAGATTTACTTGCTAATGAAATGGTGGCCATCGCATTTATGACTCTGGAATGAGAACTTCGTTTTAATTGGTTGCGTTCTAAATTTCATGGAGTAGAGTAGACATCCATTTTGTATTTTTAATTTTGTTTTGTGTGTGGGGACTCTTAATTAGTGATTTGAAGAACTTCCTAATCTATGTATGACTTTTGGACTTGAATTTTTTGAGGGACATGAATGAAATGTTTGCTGATTTTTAAATTTACATATTTTGCCATTTTTAGATCATGTTGGTAATAGCATTCACATGACTTTTAACTCTGATGATGGAATGAGCTCTGGAGAAGGTTAGAATATGTTTGTTTTATAGAATGTTTTTTTTATCTTGTTCTGTGGTATACAATATACTGTTTAGTAAAAGTTTTCTGGTTTTTTGGAACTGCGAATGATGATCCATGAGGACTTTGTGGTGGCCTTAAAATGTAATGGAGGTTCAAATATGTGATTTCATTAAAACCCATTTGATCATTGGATCTTTGGACTCTTTTGTTCTTCATTATTGAGGTTTCTTTAGAACCCATTTCTCATTAGTCCTGCTAGTACTATTTGTCTTCGGCTTCAATCATTCTCTAAACATACCATATTCTATATCCTAATCAGAGAGGGAGATAGAGAGAGTATATTGGATCAATTTTAGAGGCTTACCATATCAACCAAAATCAATCCTTATCAATGATCTTATTGTTTCCATGTTTATGAAATTATTAACATGAATATTAAATCCAACTTAGAAAGAAAATCCTTCTTTCTTTAATTTTGGTACAAGGGTTTCTTCTTTGAGGTAATGGTTTCCAGTCATGCTTTACATTCTGACGTTTTGTATTAGGTGAACTTTATCTTTTTATATCTTATCTATCCTCTTTTTATGTCTTTTCTCTCCATATTTAAAATTATGTTAGGCATGCATGCTCATATTACGAGATACGAGTTAGTGAATGACAGAGAAGGACAAGGGATATGCTCCAAAAGACGTGTTTGGAGGAAGTAGTTTGAAAAGATATAAAGACTTATAGCCTCACTGAGGGTATGACCTTTAATAGAGCGCGGTATAATTTTTAATAGAGCACAATGATGGACAAGAATTCGTATAGTCCAACCTAATTGGGAAAGGCTATGATGATAGTGATGATTAGATATGCGTGCAAATTTTTATGGCTTCACTCTCTTTATAATGAAGACCCTATTAGATATGCATGCAAATTTTTTGGAGATAATCCATCATTATATATGCATGCAAGCTCCTCTTTTTATGGCCCCCTATCTCTCTCTCTCATAGTTAGCGAGTCGGGGACTTTCAATAAATCGGCTTACTTTAAAATCGGAAAATTTTCGTTTTTATTTTTAAAAGCTGAATGAAAAAATCAGATAAAAAATACGGATCAGAAAAAATACTTCATGTAAAGATATCTCCAATATATCAGACTATGGTCAAAAAATCGGATAAATGCATATAAAAAAAAATACACCATATCAAACCTACTTAAATACATATCAAAATAATACACCATATAAAATTTCTAATTAAATACTTTCACAAATATCACACCCGCTTAAGTACATACCAAAAAAAAGACACGATTTTTTTTATCATAAAATACTTTAAGTATGATATAACAACTTTATGATTATGGTTAGTGATTAGGG